TATTGCAGCATTATTCACAATTGCCAAGACATGAAACCAACCTAAATGTCCACAAACTGATGAATGGATTGGAAAAGTGTGGTATATATACTCTATGGATTACTACTCAGCAATAAAAAAATAACAAGATCCTGGCATTTGATAGAAAGTGATTAGATATGGAGGATCTATTGCTGAGTGAAGTAAGCCAGGCTATGATAGAAAGATATTGTATATATCCACTTAATATATTCCGACTATCTGCACTCTATGATAGAGAGTGAAATATTGGAGGACATAAAAGCAGTGAAAGTACTTAATGAGAATACGACAGTGGGGAATGAGGGGGGGGTGAAGAGAAGAGGATAGAGAAATATAGCAAGAGAACAAATAGAGAGGCAGGACGTTCGTGAGAAACAGATATGGCTTATTACCTGGTGATGATGACATGTATAGTATTCTCAACTGGATTGTTCTGAGAAGTAGTTCATGATGGGTAAAGTCTTTTTACAAGCAAAATGAGAAATAGTGATTGACTGGTTTTAAAAAAATAATTGGAATAATAATAATAATGATTGGGAAAAACAATGAAAAGATATTGAATGATGAAGTGGGGAGATTAATGTCTCTGTATTGACTGACATGCATGGCATTCCCTTTTGAAAAAGCAATATAACACACCGTAAAGTTACATGCAATCCAATGTAATATAAACAAGATTATGATGATAATAATAAATAAATAATTAAAAAAGGAAAAATGGTAATTTAAGTAAAAATGAGAATAATTAAAATATAGATACTTGATAGGACAGTTATAAGGGCTAGAGATTGTTTTCAAACTGTCTGATAGGCACTAAATAAATGATAACTATTACTGTTCTTAACAGTAGTGGTTATTCTGTAAGGTGAAAGGGAAGGACTTTGGTCCCAAGATCAGAAAGATCTGGGTTTTAATATGGCCTGCTAGCTATGTGGCCATGGGAAAATGACTTAACCTCTCAGAGCCTCAAGCTACTCACCTTAGGAAAATAATACCAACCTTTAATGAGGATGAATTACAATGGGGATGTAAAACATATAAGATGTGTCACACTGTAACTGGTCTTCAGGAGTTATTTATAGGATCAGAAATAGAATGGTGGCCTACGAGACAAGGGTCCCTAGCAGGGACATGCTAGATATCCTCAAACATCTGAAAAGCATGAGGGAGTAAAAATGGAATTGTTCTAAGTGGTGCCTAGATGAAGAATAAGGACCAACAGACCAGTGGCGCTTCGGCAAGAGAGAAGCAACGATATGTAGTAGAACTTGGGGCTGACCAGAGATGAAATGGGCTGAGTCACTCTTAGCTCACAGCCCACACCTGGGAGAGGAGGAAGGGCTGCAGAATTCTCTGGAGGAACTGAACAGGGGACCCTTGCTCCAGTAGGTGGTTGGGCAGTTAATCTCTGGGAAGGGTTCAGAGTCAGCACTCTGCAGTTCTCTCTGAAGATAGGAAAAAGAGATCCAGACTTTCTCAAGGTGCCCCTTCTAGCTCATAGAGAAGGGGCTACAGCCAGACCTTTGCCTCTTTCAACTAAGCCTAACTGTTTTCCATCCTATGCTCACCCATGGCCACAACTGTTTTCCATCCTATGCTCACCCATGGCCACAAAGGTCACTGAGTCCACACCCAGACTGAGGCCTGGAAACACTGTGGTTGGCGAGAGGAAATGAGGCAGTTTTGGTTCTTCAGAAATCAGGATTCCAATTCACCCCTCCTCTTCCTAGATTTCCTCTCCCAAGGTCATGAGATTTCTTACTCCATGCTTGCCCAACCCACTGCTTGCAGATAGGGCTGTACACGGCATATGAGGCTGTCCCAGTGATACTGAGGCTTTCCCTGTACTTCTTGTGCGACGAGTTCCAGGTGACAGGTCCATTTCCCTCAGTCCATGTCTGAGCTCCCATTGCAGTTCTGAAACCGGAAGCAGCTGAGCTTCCTTGGTTGCAGCCAGAGGCTGGTCCTCTCCCATCCCTACTCTGTGGTGCTGCCCCCTCCCCAGAGCTATCCCTCAGAAGGGGATGCGAACGTTAGAGCAGATCAACTGCAGGTCCAGAATATTTTGAAGAGTGCTCGCACAGCCAAGCACTTGTGTAACTTGATGGCTCTGGGGAAGGAGCAATAAGGAATCAGCAAACTCTTCCAGGGAGATAACTCCTAGTCCCTTCTGATAGGTGCCTTTGGTACTTCTCCAAGGTAGATATTCTGCATGGTCAAGAGCTCCATCTATGCTATTCACTCCTTAGGCTATTAGAAGAGGCCTCAACTGCAACCATATTTTTCATGATGGATTTGTCTTCCATTAAGGAACAGCCATTCTTCAAGTGTCCAACCGTTCAGAGTCTGATTCCTAAGACTTGTACCTCACTTAAACCTTAGACCCAGAAAGATTGGCCTCTTACCCTTCTCTTCAGAGCAATGTGTCTCCTTTTCTAATTCCCTGGAGAGAGGTTGGCATTGGGCCTGATCCAATATGATCCAAAGCATGCCTTATAACAAAATCCGTACCCAATAATCCTGTTCACAAGTGGCAAAGGTTGCTTTGAGGTGAGCTATTCCTCTTTAGACCTTCATCCCATGCTGTCTCCCGTCCCCAAGAGTGTGGAGTTGGACATTCACACCTGCTGGTGATAGGACCTCAGCAACCTCCTGAATACAAACTACCCAGGAGGCTGCCAGAGCAGCAGCCCTGCAAGGTGTGGCTGATGAGGGCTGTGTAGCCCACTCCCATACCACAGTCACAATTTGAGAAGGGGTGGCAGAGTCCTGCCCCTGTGAGGAGCCTCCCTCAATTGGTATGCGCTGGGCACAGTTGGAAAGGGAGGAGGAAGCGACAGAGGACTCAGGAGAGGACAGGCTGGGATGAGCCCTGAATGCTGATGACAAGTGGAAAATTTGAAATCTTGGGGACCAGGAAGGCCCATGTCTGAAGCACTGACAGGGGTGCGAGCTGCTGCAGTTTTTCTCTCCATCAATTCTTCAAAGTTGATATTCTTAGCATTTGGGATTTGTTTTCTAGAATATTTAGATTTCACTTTGAAAGGATGTAGAAACTAATTCCTAAAAGGCAGATTCTAAAATGAGCCTGGACCTCCTAAGGGGACCAGGACTGTGTCTTGGACCCTGAAAGCCTGGCTGTGGGCCCCTCCGCTGACCATTGGCTGCACTGGGTCACCTACCAACTTCTCATGAGTTTATACCATGGCTCTGGGACAGGACAGTGTGCTCCATGAGGACAGTGGCCATACCTTACACTTCTGGATACCAAGCAGGAGCTCCGGGAGTTGAGTTTGGTATTTGGATGGGGTGGGAAGGGTCCAAGTGGAACTCCTTGGCTGGGTTTGCCTTCTTCCCTTGCCTGACCTCAACTCCTTGTTTATTTCTCAGGAGGTAAAGGGGACAAGGGCGTAAAAGGAGACACAGGGATCATCGGGCCCCCTGGAACCCCAGGAAGTAAAGGGGACCCTGGGAAGCCAGGTCCACCAGGTAGGATGCCATGTGGTCTGTAGCTATTCCCTTTTTTTCAGTTAGGCTGAACCAAAAGAAAAAAATCCTGAACTTTCTTCTTCATTTTAGGTTTGACTGGATCTTCTGGACCCAAAGGAGAGCAAGGTAGAAACTGGAAATCTGGGCATCATTCTAGCTACCACTATTCCCTCCAGTCAAGGCCAGGGCCCAACTCTGCCTTCTTTGATTTCATTGTAGTATTAATCCAGGGGTATCTTAAAACCTTGGCCCTTCCTAAAAGGAACAGGACAGCTCTGGCAGAGAGCAGGCCTCACTGACATTGCCCTTCAGACCATCACCCCACATCTCCAGCAGGGTGTATAGCTGGGCATTCACAGCCAGAGTTCCTAGTAGGTCCCCAATCGTAACTCTGCAGAAGTGCATGAAAAGGATTAATATGTTGCTGGGAATAATTTTGCTCCAACTAATGGGGCTGGATTGTGGCTTCTAAGGCTGCCCAGCCAGAGGACTATAAGGTATTAGGAGGTACACATCTCACTACTGAGAATAGAGACATGGGGGTTGGGAATGCAGCAGGCCCATTGCTAACCACTCTCAATCTGCAATGCCACTTAACTTTCAGGACAACCTGGTGTGCAGGGTGTTCCAGGCTCTCCTGGCTCAGTGGGACCCACAGGTGCCAAGGGTGAGCCTGGCAGACCTGGTTCCAATGGACTAATAGGTAAGTCCCTGAGTCTTATAGCAGGTGTGGGGAGTGATGTCTGGAGATCTATCTAGCCCAAACTTGGTGCTCTCTGTGGTGCCTGCTGTCCAGGTCCTCCAGGAAGACCCGGGAGTCCAGGAGCTGCTGGCCTGAAAGGAAGCAAGGGAGACACAGGTAACAGGGCATGGGCAGGTGGATGGGTGGGGTTGGGAGGTGTCAGCCTGGACAGGGAGGACTGCCTCCTGTTGATCATAGAAGGAGCAGAGAGTCTCCTGAGCTTTGCCCTCTGATCAAGGAAGGCAGTTTCCTTTGCTAAGACCTCCTCAGCTCAAGGTCCTATGGCTACTCTTTCTCTGCTGTGAGTTCCTGGTAGGCCTTGAATGCCACGACCAAAGCTCTAGCATATGGGTGGAAAGCAGGCACTCTGTGTACACAGTCTGTGACTGTGGACCTTCTGTGGGTCCCCAGGGTTGGGCCTCTGGATTCAGGCAAAAGAGTCAAGAAATCCCTTCTTGTTAGACCAGCAGATGGCATAGTAATTAAGTTCTGATCCCACATGGCTGACTCCATGGCTCAAGTCCTGGACTCAGCAACTTCAAAACCATGACAGACTCATGTTTTTGCATGCCCCCAAATCCTGAGAGGACAATGGAGTAACATGGTCATCCTCCTGGGGTGGGGGGTGATTTCTCACTTTCCTTTTCTCTCTGTCTCTTTCCTGTGAGTGCACACACCCTATAGCAAAAAAAAAAAAAAAATCTATCTAACTATATCATATAAAAATAAAAACCCCTTCTTGAATTGCGGCTTGGCCATCCCCCCTGAGAGGGTGATCTCTTGCTTTCTGTCTCTCTGTCTTTCTCTGTCTGTCTGGCGAACGCACACACCCTATAGCGAAAACCTCTCCAAAAGAAAAGAAAAGAAAAGAAAAACCGCTTCTTGTACATCTTCCTAGAAGACTTTTCTGGAAGCACTGGCCCACTCTAACTGAACTCGCAGACTTCTTTATAAATCATCATGTCAACCTGGTCTAGTTTATGCAGTATTATGTCAATATAGTCTAGCTTATAAGCCATTGTACCAAATGGAATCTGCTTAATAAACCACTGTGCTGGTTTTGTCTTATCTCTCAATAAATTCAGACATCTACAATGTGCACATTTGGTCTAGAAATTCCAGGGCACTGTGTTGGGTACTGGGTCCCCTGCAAAGCATAAGACCCAGTTTCTTCCCTCAGACATGCAGGGTGGTGCAGGAGACAGAAAGGCTGTTGCCAGGTTGTGCAGTCACACTCTGGTTGGGTGTGTGCATGGAGAACTGCCAGAGATACAGGGCTTAGGAAAGGACCAAGTGTCTGCCAAGGATGTCTATGGACAGCCTACTTCAGCCCCTCCTCTGCCAGAGCTTGTGTCAGACAATGGATGCCATCATCCCTGGGCCTTGCTACAGACCCACACCAAGTTCTGGTCCTTCACAGTGCTACGTGATCAAGTGGTTGCCTTGATTCATTCATTGATCACCATGTCCTGGGGTTTTACTGAAGGTTTTAGGAAACTGTGGCAAGGGCTGCTCTTGTAATCTCTCTAACCTTTCATCTATCTGGCCTCAGAGCCATTTTCTTTTCCATGGATTGTGTGTCAGTGAGCACAGAGCCTTGCTACTTGATCTCATGTAGATGTTACCTGAAAGTCACCAGCAAGGTCGCACCTGGGTTAGGGTGTCAGCCATCCTGACTTGTGGATTCCTATTCTGATCTTTTAATTCTGTCTTCTCTGGTCTCTGATCTGAGGTTCATCTGACTTTGGGGTCTGAAGCTGTATTGCTCCTGAGTGTTTTGCTTGACTTTATGGATATGGTGCTCATCCCTCAGATATGAAGAGTAGTTACCCACTGCCCCCACCCCATCACCAGACTAGTGGTTCTTGACCAGGCAAGAGTACTGAGAGTGAAACATGATGATACCCAGAGGGAAGTGTGCCAATCTCCCCAGCCCTAAGCCTGTGTTGGCCTCTGTCAGATAGTAGGGCAACTTGCCCTGCACTCTCCATCCTAGGCAGGTTTACATAACAAGAGCAGCTTCTGCTAACAAGCATTTTCATGACACCCCAATGGTAAAATCACTCTTAGTGCTATTTTACAGTGAGTTTCCCAAAGTCAAACAGTCAATAAGAGATGTAGTCAGGGTCAAATCTAGGCCTGGCCAAACCCAGAGCCTGAAGTCATGTCCACTATACTCTATCATAGGGACTTCTTCCCTACCGACCCCATCAGGGAACTTTAATGAGAGACATCTTGTCCCTCCATCAGGAAGAATCAGAGCATGAGCAGCAGCAGTTTTTTTGCTCTTAAGAAGCAACACGGGGGCCAGCAGATGGTATGGTGGTTAAAGCACTGGCCCCCACATGACAGATCATGGTTCAAGTCCTAGACCTGCAGTTAGCATAATGGCTATGTCGCTGGACTCCCATGTAGTCGACCACAGTTCGAGTCCCGGACCTGGTGGCTTAAACTCATACCGGGCATGTGTGCATGCGTGCCCAAGATCCCGAGAGGAGAATGGAGGAGAAGGGATTGCGGCGTGACCATCCCCCCTGGGGGGTGATTTCTTGCTTTCTATCTCTCTGTCTCTCTCTGTCTGTCTGGCGAGCGCACACGCCCTATAGCGAAAACCTCTCCAAAAAAAAAGAAAAAAACAAGTCCTAGACCTGGTGGCTTGCTTTCTTACTTCTCCTCTTGCTCTTGCCTGCCCCCTCTCTCTCCCAGTCTCCCTCTGGTAAGTGATGGTAAGTGCCTATAGCAAATTAAAATAATAATAATAATAGTGATAAATAAAATAGATCTTAAAAAGAAGAAGAAGAAACAACACAAAGCTTTCAGGCCCTGTAACTATTTTTATTTATCCAAGACCCCCATACCCTTTATAATACAGAGACTATTAGCTCATAGTCTAGGAGATCATTTAATCCCATCATTAAGTCATTGTAAATCTGTTGAATGCATTTATGGTGTTCTCCATTAATCAGACATGGTGCTGAATAGCAACTGGCCAAATTCTAGGAGTTATTCCTTAATTCTGGCTACTTAGTAAACATGATGAGTTATGCTTTTAATTTGGGGCATCTGATAATTACTCTTTATATAAAATGGCATAGGTTGCCCACCCAGATCCAAATGTTCACTTTGAGCAAGCAGCTGACCACACGGTGTCTTGAAGGGAATTCCCACAGGGCCATAAGCCACCTAATCTTAGCCAAGTCTATGTATCATCCTGGATTCTTAAACTAAGGAAATTCTGGAAAGATTAGATTTGACCATTTCTGAAGTGGAAAAAAGGAGGTGATGAGCATTGGGTGGGAACCAGACCTGCCCATCACAAAGTGTACCTAATGTCAGAATATTGGTATTCCCCGAAGCAGTTTCTAAGGTGACTGTCCAGTTTTGCTATATCAAGCTAGGTTTTCAAACTGCTGCAGTTCCAATTTTGTAAATAACATCATTAATCTTTCAATATAATATCTAGTTGCTTTGGATTACAGTATATTGGCTTGACCTAGGTGAGAGCGAGATGCCATTATTGTGCATTAGATTATATATATCTAAGAGGGCTGTTTATTATTAACAGTGCTTCTGGACCAGGCACTGTGCTTGGGCGTTTACTCCCATGATCTGCCCACACACCTGGATTTTATCATCCCTACTATACAGCTGAGGATGCAAAGACTCAGAGAGGGTCAACCTTTGCTCTGGTCTCATGCTTCGTCTACACTGAATCCAAGAAGTAACCCTCAAGTCTTTTCTAACATTGCGTTTTTCTGTATTTTGCTGTATAGGACAACATAAAGTGTATGACCCAAGAGAAATCACGACTTCCCATGCCCCCCACCCATCACCTCTCACCTCATGATAAATCTCCTTCCTACTTTCATCAGCAGTCACTAATCTCACTTCATCCCTCTAAGGTGGAGGTTTCCTGTTGTTTGCACTTCTCATGGGAGAGGAGCCATCTCAGATTAAAGACAGAAAGGAAATCCTTTCTGTTCTGCTGGGAAGATAAACCCCATATCATATTCCGTAGGGCTTTATCGCCAGCAGAGTTCTTTTCTAGTGGCAATAATCATGCTTACCTGTGAGAAGCAAGCTTTTGTCCAACCCCCAAAACTTAGTCTTTCTTTTTCCCTTTCAAAAACTTATAAAAGAAAAGGCAAATTTTAGCTCTACATCCTTAGCTACTTTTAAAAAATGTGTTTATTTATTTTTACATTCAATCACTGTGTAGCATTACCGTATACCAAATGACTCCCCATTCTGAATACAGTGTATGTGTATTCAGAGTGTATATTAATTGAGTCAAAGATATTATTGTACATATTATCATCAACAGATAATTTTCCATTTTAAATGTTTTCTTTCTTTTCCCCTTGATTCCCTCCCTCTCACTGTCGCCCCCTTCCCTCCCTGCCCCTACGCTGCCTCTGATATCCACGGCTGCTCTCCACGCCTTTATGCCCAGTCTTTCCGTTGTTGCCACAGGGTACGGATATCCTTAGCGACTTTGGAGAGGGAAGTTTGGAAGCCAGGAAGGACCTCACTTCAGCTTGTAATCATGGCATTTCTCTTTTCCCCATTTCTACCTCATGAAATGATGTTAGAAGCAGTCAGAACATTTAAACTCCAAAACATCCATCTGATCAGAAATTATTCATCTCAATGGCCTTCTGTCTAAATCATAATGATTGGAATTTTCTCTGACCTTGTATTTTCCTCTTGGGACAGAACTAAAGTGCAAATAACTTGAAATCTATGTTCTTACCTGTGGTTTTAAGATACTTTAAAGCCAGACAACAAAGATAAACCATTATAACAGTTAAACCCTATATTAAGAATATAATTGCTCAGTTAATTCTATTCCCCATATTCAAATACTGACATAATTCAAGAACTTATTAAATTCTATCAAGTCTAATTACTAAATTGTCACGTATAAAACTCTTCTTCATTTTCTTTTAAGTTTTTTGAACACATCAACAGAAATCTATATACACCCTTATTGGGATCCTCAATCCACTATTTGCTTTTTGACACGAGGTTCAATTTGTCAGCTAGTAGATTAATCCTAAATTTGCCAGGCTGTACCTAGCCTGTCAATTGGAATGGCATTTAAGGAAGTTTTCCTAATGGGTCGGAAGTTTCTACATTTAATTCAGACCTAGGCCTCAACTCAAAGTTGCCACTGACTGATTGGGGGTCTGTGGGACAATATTTACCTTCATGGGGCCTCAGTTTCTTCTTCTGTGGTGTGTCAGTTATGTAGATAAACATCCAGGTCTCTGCCAGCTCAACAGTCCTGTGGGTTTGAAATAAGCAATTTCCTCCCTGAGCAAAAACAATGTAAGATTTTTAGTCAGAACATTAGCTTCCTAAACAGTAGGAAGGCATATTCTTTCAAAAAAAAAAATTCTAGTGGAAAATTATTCCTCTAAAAACACCTTGAAAATAAATATTTTTGGTCCTCTCAGCTTGGTAAGTTTGTGACACCCAGGAAAATCTAGTTTGCTTGTGAGTAAGGAGAAAAACCCAGCATCTAATGCTTTACTGTGCAGTTTTATAATAGGTTGTTCTAGATCCGATTTTTCAGCCATTTTTTCCCTCTAACATGCAGAAGTTGATCCGATCAGGATTCTGCCTTGGTTTATGGTGAGGTAACACTAGCCCCTTGACCAGTTAGTCAATGAACAGCCACTCAGCCAGCTTCCTCTTAGAGTCCAGCGAGGCTTGGAGAGAAATCACATGTGACTCAGTTCTAATTTCCTCTTGAAAAGGGCAGTTTTAGAGACAAAACTGACACCTGTTAAACACATAAAAGGCATTTTATCAAGGACCAATTTTGTCTCACGAACCGTTATTTTGGGGGATCTCAGACATGGGAGGAAGCACTGTGAGTTCCTACAGAGACAGGAAACTGTTTGAAGGAAGGAGACTGTGAGCTGGTACCTGAAGAATGAGGGCCATTTGTTAGGGCAGCACCACTCCAAGCCTGGTAACGGGACTGGCAACATCAGCACCACTTGGGAAGTCATAAGACCTGTGGTTTCTCAGATCCCACTCAGTCCTGGAATCAGTGCATGTAGGGTAGGGCCCAGCTAATTGACTTTTTCGCAAGCCCCATCCAGGTTTAGTTTGACTATCCTCTTCGGGAGAAGGGATGCCCAATGGACACTGGAAGTTATTCAGAATCAAGTGGATAGATCAGGTGAAACAGCAGAATAGAGTGAGCCTGGCATGTTGGTGAGAAAGGGAGAGATACAAGGCCCAGGAGAGGCTGAGCCTCCGTTACAGTTCACTGCTGTGTGACCTTGGAAAAAATCTCCTAGCATCTCTGAATATCAACCTCTTTCTCTGTAAAGGAAGACAAAATCATTACATTGCAAGGTTTCTGAGAGATCGAATAAGGTAGTATATGTAAGGCCCCGGGCATGGTGCCTGGCCCAGTGTAAACAGCAGCAAAACTGCATGTCCTGGAGGTAAGGCCTGGAGGGAGTGTGGGAAATGAAGGGGGGAGGACCAGGCATGGGATCAACCTGGTGAGCAGGGACTTTCTTGTTCCTGACTTACAGTGGGTGCTTGCTGTTCAGTACTTTGGAGGACAATTGGAGAGGTATGCCTCTTAGGGTGGGAACAAGGGAAGGTTGCGGTGCCCTGGGTTCCAAACTCATAGGAACAGGTTCTCAGGTATGGACTTCAGCAATATGGTGCCCTCTAAGATGCAGACAGGCAGAGTCAAGAGTAGACTGTTTTTCTCTTTAATAACCACTATAGATGGATTTTTGAATGTGGTCTTCTCCCCTTCAGTCCTGAAATAGGCTATTCAAATTCAAGTGAGCAGAGGGAATACAGTTCTTGCTTCTGCATGGGGACCTCAGCTCAGTCCCTCAGGTCAACAGCAAACATTTCTCGGGTGCTTGTTAGGCAGTCAGCCTGGTGCACATGCAAGGCTTGACCCCAGCCCCTTTTCTCCATAAGGGGCTCCCTTATGGAGAAAAGTCACAGTTGCAGACAGGGCCCACAGGGTCCTTATGGAGCTGTTTATTCCCCACTAAGCACACACAACTTCGTTTCAATCTCACGACTCAGGTAAGAACTTCCCCAGGCAACCACAAGGAGGGCTGAGCTGCCATGGTTTCTCATGGTCATCAGAAGGGTGGGTCTTTGGTCAAGCCTGGTGTCTTGAGAGGAGTTCCACCAAGGGCACCATAATGAACACAGTTGCTCATGAATAACTGTTTGTGCTCCCTCATTACCTTCTAGTAACTATTATTTGAGAGGCAACAGTGAATTTGCCTTTTCTTAAGTTTGTGTAACTGTCTTAGGGAATCCTATTTCTCTGAAATAAAATCAATATTGATGCTTAAAATTGAGAGGCCATGATGTTGCTAAATGAACAAATTATTATCTCACAGTGACCCAGCAGGGTGCTGGGGACAATAAGTCCTTGAAGAATATTCACTGAAGAGGATTAATAGGAAGAAGAAAGCAAGAAGAAAGGAAAGAAGAAAGAAAGGGAGGCAGAGAGGGAAGGAGGGCCTAAGGAAGGGAGGAAGGAATAAAAAAAAGAGGACTTAAACCACATTAACTACAAATACGATTGTCACCAATCATTGCAGTTATTTTTATCTATTTCCTGGACTTGCAACTCCTCCCCTCCCCTTAGCCATATGAATCTTTAGCCACACCAGTAGCCTCATGAAAAAAAAAATTTTTTAGAGAGATTTTTGCTGTAGGGCATGTGCGCTCACCAGAGAGACAGAAAAACAGAAAACAAGAAATTGACCCCTGGGGGAATGGCCACACCACGATCCCTCCTTCTCCATTCTCCTCTTGGGATTTTGGGGACGCACTCACATGCACCCGTATGAATTTCATGCTGCCAGGTCTGGGATTTGAACTGCAGACAATTACGTGGGAGTCCAGTGACATAACCATTACACCATCTGCTGATCCCAAGAAAAAACTTTTAACAGAACCAAAATGAAAAGTTATCTGTTGATAATAATGTAATGGTAATACCTGTGACCTGAGGAATATACACTGCATTCATGATGGGGAAAAACCATTTTGTACACTGTAAAGATGTGATTAAATGTAAACAAAAATATTTTGAAAATATATATAAACAAATATATTAAAATTTTTTTAAAAAAGAAAGAAACCAACAAATACTTATGGAGCATCTACTTTGAGTGAGGACACCTCCACCCCCACCACCACCAAAGCTCCTGGTGGCCACTGATTCCCCTTGAAAGTCTTGGAAATAAAGCTAGCTTTATTTTCAAAACATCTCTCAATTATCTCCCAATAAAATACACTAGCAAGAAATGGAGTTGGATTTAGACACCAAGTCAGGTTACTGAGGGACAGGGGTTACCAGCTAGTGAATCTGGGGTCTGTCATGCCCACATTTTCATCCATTGTGTTGGCATTTCATCCCAATACACCAGTCTGTCCCCATTTATCTGCAAGCTGCTGCTCCTTTTATGCTCTGCTAAAGAAGTTTTAAACTATTGTGGAGAACCAATGTATCTTTCCATCTGCATTAATCAGACAAAAGATAGAGGTTGTCTAAGATTAAAAGTGTCTAATATCTAAGTTTTATTATCCCCCCCCTTTTCTTTCTGTTTTCATCTTAGGACTTCAAGGACAGAAAGGAACAAAAGGAGAATCTGGAGTTCCAGGTAAAGGGCCAACTCTGCTTTAATTTCTGAGAATGATGACTAGAGAGGCCTGTGAGCTGGGAGGGTGGGCCCTGTTGACTTTGAAGTGCAGCTGTGACCTTCCCCCAGAGTTGAGGCTCTGTTACTCAAGTCTTGGATTGTTCCTTTGGAAAACCTGGGAAATGATAGGAACTCAGTGTCCAGAGGGGTATGTGACGGGCTGAGGGTGGTGTCAGTCCACATCGTGTTGCTAACAGAAATACCTGAGACTGGGTGATTTGAAAAGAACAGAGGCTTATTTGACTACTATTCTGCTGGCTAGAAAATCTGAAGGCAGGGTGCTGGCATCTGCCCAGCTACATCACAACATGGCTGACAGAAGCAGAGTGGGCACTTGCTAAGAAAGACCTGGGGTAACCATCTTCCTTTTACTAGACTCTTGCAAGAACTCACCCCTTCTCATGAGAGCTAGGACTCACTCTCTCATTATCCACCCTCTCATGGGAATGATGACTCCATGATCCAATCAGAATTCTAGGCCTCTGTTTTTAAAGGCTTTCCCACCTCTCAATGCCATTACACTGGGGACCAAGTCATCATCTAAAACACAGCAGATGGCAAAGAGTAAAAGATTTTGGGAGAGCTGGCGATGGGGCAGCGATTTCAACCTTCCTTTCCAGGCTGGGGTTGGTGCTTTTCCAGCTCTGCTTTGGTCATTTTCCTCTTCTATTTGGTTCTTCACACCCTCATTTCCTCTTGTGCTGCTGCTCATAAGATTATTATCATGAGTTATTACTACCCTCCATGCCTAGTGAGCCCTCACAATAACAGTCAGTTACTGAGCCCAGCAATGCTACACAGCATGTGTGGTCTTCCAAACGCCCTAACTTAATGTTGCTAAAGCCAAGCTCCTCAGACAAATCTCTGGGGCAATCTTTCTTCCTCATGAACCAAGTGGTATGCACTTACTTTATTTTACTGAGGAGATGTTGAGGTTTAGACACATCCTAGTGAGTTCTCCCAGAATGGCTGGAGTGTCCACACAATTCTGTAATCCTCTGAGGACCTGTTGGCCATTTCCACCAACAGCATCTACATGAGAGCCTCCTGAGATGGAGCAAAGACACAGGCTGAACCTCCAAACAGCCCATTCACGGGGAGAACTTGGTAGCTATGGGCAAATCATTCATTAAACTCCAAGGACAGTAGATGTCCCCTGAGCATGCAAAGTAAGCATCTGATGGGGCTGGTCTCCCCCCTCAGGCCCTGCAGGCATGAAGGGAGACAAGGGAAGCCCAGGATCTGCAGGCCTCAGGGGAGCACCTGGACCAATTGGCCAAAAGGGAGACCCAGGAATGAAAGGTAAGGCTCTGTTTATGACTCTGGGCTCTTAGGAGAGGCCCTGTTTCCAGGAGTTTGGGCTTTCAGGACCTGGGAGAAGGGGGTGTACAAGTTTGCTGTTGAGTCAGCAATTTGTATTCTGGGAGCTGCCATATGCACCAAGCACACAGCAGGGACTGAGGCCAGCCTGTGATGTGCACTTGTGCCACGCCCAGCTGTGCCCTCAGCCACACTAGACAATCTCCATGGAGATGCTTCCATCCCACACCACGTCTTTGCTTGTCAAACATTCCTCACTAAACTAACTTCAGCCCTTCCTGCTGTTGCTTAGGCCCATTTCTTCTCCCTCACCAGGGATGTCCCTGACACACACAGTCTTGTGATGCCAGGCCACAGGCAAAGCTGGAAGAGTCTGACCCCCTCTTCTCCTACCCACCCTCTCCCACTGCTGGCAAAAGAGGATGGGGGCGGGGGGAAGGCAGTCATGGCTGGATTTCCTTCAAATCATGTGGGTTTTCTCCCTATGACAGGATCATCTGGGCAGCAAGGAGAAAGGGGAGAAAAAGGTGAAAAAGGTAATTCCTATTTCTAAACTCTTTCATTTGTGTTCTAAAGTCAATTTTGTATTTGAGTATTGTTTGTGTTTTGGAAACAAGATCTTCATTCTCAAATAAATGGAAAAGCTAATGGTCTCATCTTTTGAACAAGCCTTCCCATGGCGTAGAGGCATGGTGCAACAGTTTTCCCTCATCCTTCTCTCTTCCCTTCCTTCCTGCTCCCTCTTTTCCTCCCCATTCCCTTCTTTCCTTCTTTCTTAACTCCTTTTCTTCTCCCTTTTTTCTTTCTTTCTCTTTGCCTTCCTTTTTATTTCCTGTCTCTGTTCTTTCCCGTCTTTCCTTTTCTCGACTTTTCTTTTTTTCCTGTCCATAACACATAGCAAGATATAACCCGTGGGATCTGCAAGACCAGCCACAGAGGTACCTGCTCCTGTGACCTCATGCCTGCAGTCTGGCACAAAGGAGGCTGCATGTCAGGTTGTGCTGGTGCCACAAAGTGACATCTTCCAGGTTCTGGTGATGGCTAAATAGTTCTACAACCATAGAACTTCCAAAAATTAAAAAGAGTCTGAACTTCTACAAAGCTCTAAGGTGCTTTCTTAATCTCCTTACTTGTGCTTTCACCCAGGCAATTCCCCGGAATCTGTCAGGATCATTGGCAGTAGTTATCGAGGCCGGGTCCAGGTTTACTACAACGGCACCTGGGGGACAATCTGTGACGATGAATGGGACAATTCTGACGCCACCGTCTTCTGCCGCATGCTGGGTTACTCCAAGGGAAAGGCTATTTACAGGGTGGGAAGTGGTAAGTGAGTCATCAGCTAGGGGCCTCCTTTTCAAGGTGCCAGGTAGCTTTCTCACACCAGGGACAGAAATACATAACCATGTGTTGACATGTTTTGGTTGCAAGTTACTCAGTGTGGTTTGGGTTGGAAAAAAAGGTATTGGTTCAAGCAACTGGAAAGTACTGCCTCCTCAGAGCTTCAGGCTTATGTCCTGCTTGGCAGCCCCAGCAGAAAGACTGTCCTCCCAAAAGTGACAACAAAGGCTTGCCTGGGGCCTAGCTGGCCTGCATGGGCCAGTTATGGTCCAGCCCTGGGGTCAGTATGAACATGACTGAGGGGGTTGGTGGAGGAGGGTGGCTCTTAGAGCACAGCTGAGTTGTCAGAACTGAAGAGACAGAGAGAGGCTGTAAGGCAGGCAAACGCAGATGTTCACTCCAGCCGTCTGGAAGGCACAAACCTGGACTGTCCACTCTCTTGGCTGTGATTGTCTGTAAAGAGAAGGTAGGAAAGAAAGGAAAGACAAATCAGAGAAAGGACTTACCAAAATTAGTTTGAGAAGATGTCTGGGTGCTCAAGACTCAACTAAAGTCATTATTTATTTATTTATTTATTTAAAGTCAAAAGTTCAAACCTTGAGCAAAGGAGTTAAGAGTCTAGGCCAAGTCCCTTTCTTTATTGGCCATAAGAACTGAAAATGCTCTCTGTCCTTTAAGCTGAGTCCAGTTGACCTGTGAAATTCCTTTAGAATATAGTCACACATCACGTAACAATGGTGATAAATCCTAAGAAGTGTGTCGTTAGATGATTTTGTCATGGCGCAAACATCACAGAACATTCTTACTCATAGCTAGAGGGCCTTGCCTATTACAAACCTAGATAGGATCTACGGGACTGCCACCGCCCACGCAGCCTGTTGTTGACTGCAGTGCCCTTATGTAGTGTGTGATGGTACACATGGCCTCCTATTAGCTAGGATGTATAGATGAAGTTGCATTGCAGTATAATCAAATAATTCAGCTGTTTTCAATCCTATCCTGAGAACAGGGGTTGACAGAGGTGTGAATGCTGCAGAGCATGGAGAAGACACGGATCAAACACACAAGAAAGAGATTTCAAATATTGTATGGGTTACATATTAAATATGCGGATGAGACTTTGTCATAGCTTAAAGAATAGAATGGAGGCAGAGTCATTATAAAAGACCCAATTAGCCATTAGCACATGGGCCTGAATGGATATGAGGACAATGGGAAGTCTGCCCACACAGAAGCAGGGGCACCAATGTGGCTGCTTTACTTAGACTCTAATCCTGCTCTCCTTGCTTTCTCCATATCAAGGCACTGGGAAAATCTGGCTGGATGATGTTGCATGCAGAGGATCAGAGGAGACACTATGGGACTGCAGAAAGAATGCATGGGGTGCCCACAACTGTAACCACAGTGAGGACGCAGGTGTGGAGTGCAGCATCTAACCCTGAAGCCCTTTCTCTGATGTGTCCCTGAGGTGTCTATGGACTCATGGAGGAAGACAAAGGAGGAGTTCCCTAGGAGCAGCTGAGCAGCCTCTGGGGAGGGGTCACTAATAAAGCTCAAAGCACACCTAGTAATGTCATTAGCTGTGGCTGAATGTCCCTGAGTTAACATCTCCTGTCTTCTGTTGATGTGCCCACTCAAAGTACTCAATATTTATTGAATTCTCATGTGCACACTGGAACAGTAGAGTCTCAACTTATAGCCAAGGGGAAAAACGGTGCAATGCAGAAGGTGCAGGTTACCTGGAGCCAAATTAGTCTTGACCATCCCTTCAGTCATTTAGATATAGCATCTCTCAAAATAAGCTCTCCTTCTAGCATCAGAGCTGTTAACCATATTTTTGGCTCTGCAGCAAATGAAGAGGTTGGCTTGCATTTCCACCATATTGCATGATAAATATGAATTATACCTTTAAACCTGAAAGTTAATTCTCATTAGAATATAAACTCCATAAATGCTAGGATTTTTGTCTATTTTATTCGCCCCCATAGGGGCTCAGTAAATATTTATTGGATGAATGACAGAATTAAACAAGAAAGTGGAATACACCCTCTCGGAGAGATCTGGCTCCCCTCCCTCTTGTCAGTCTTCTCCTGGGCTATATAATCTTCAGGTGGAATCTCATAGGCTCTCTCCCTCTCTCTCTGGCTGGGTGTTGTAAATGGTTCCATTGAATGTTGACTCTGGGAGAGTGAGGTGCATGCATGATGAGATTCCATGGCATCATGGTTCCCTCTCGACCCATGAGGAAGCTCAGCCTCAGAGCATTAGAAAAATGGCCCAAGATCACTTGTAAATAATAGAGTCCAAGGTCAAACACCAGGGAGGAGGAGATGAAAGGACTGAGCTGGAGTGGCCAAGGATTCTGGCTGCTCATCACCCTCATCACAGTGTAAGAGTAACTCCCACTGGAGCCCCTTAGGGATTTTCCCTTTGAGACTTCATCCAACCATCCAGGACCAGCCTGTATCTTCCAGCACAAGGTCAGAGTTTCTGGGGAATTGAAGGACGCTGGCCTTCGAGATGGGGGAATGGGAAGCAGGACTCGAAAACTGGCTGTTCTAGTTTGGCAAAAGACTCTGTGATGTACTTTTCTCTGGCCTGTAGGATAAGGGTGAGGTAGGTCAGAGAGGAAAGAAGGTATCTTTTGCCAAATGAGAGGATCTGGGGCTAATTACATGTTTCGCAAATGTGCAATTAAAGTGTCTTATCAGCAACCCCTTCCCCTTTAATTCTTGTTGCCTGTTCCTTATCTCCCAAGGAGTTGTTTTTGTCTTTGTTTTTGTTTTCTAAAGGAAGAAAAGGGCAAGTATTGCCTGAACTGCACATGTCATTGATGCAATCTGAATCTCAAAGCTGACTTCCTGAATCTCTCCAGAAAGACAAGAGCTATGAAAATAGTTGAAAACAGAAATGATTTTCTAATTCTTTTCATTTAGCTTATAAAAAGACAAGCCTGACTGGCCTTAGCCTGTCATTTTAAGCAAGGGAAGTCTGAGCTGAGCAAATAGGAAGACTATTTAGGGAAAGTGTGCTCCCCTCACCACCACCCCACCCCTGGTGAATGGTAGGAAAAGGCAGTAGGAAGACAAAATGGAAGGGAGGGTCCTCCTTGACCTTCTCAAACCCAGCTTCCCCACCCTTATTTCCTATTCCAGGATCTGCAAGACTGATCCCTGTCTAGGGAAACCCCTTCTTGTGTCCCTAGGGTGCTGACTTGGCCTTAGGCCCTGACAAGGACGCCAGGCCTCATGAATCCACTACTGGCATACCCTAGAGAGCTCATTCTGACACCTTGCTGTTGGCTAAGAGTGCCAATAACTCACATTGGGCTCCTGCAAGCTCAGGTGGGGCTATTTTTGTAGTTTCTTCTTCGTCCACTCTAACTCAACGAAGGTTTATTGAATCTCAGTTTTGTGCCAAGCACTGTGCTAAGCACTGGGGATAAGTAGTGGAGTTAATATGGACTTGGTCTCTGTCCTCATGCAGCTTTCAGATTCATGAGGAAGCCATGTTAATCAAAGAAGGACGCATTGGGAGCATGCAATGGAGAGGGGATGTGATCCGAGAGTCAGGGAAGGAAGAGTGGGAGTTAACTGACTAAAAGAGAGGGAGAAATCATCCCAGCCAGAGGGCAAGTAACCAAGGGCCAGAGAAAGGCTGGAGTGGCTGAAGCTGTGAGCAAATGCAGTAGGAAACAGGCTGCCTTCCTGGGTAGGCTGGAGCCCACAGTCTTATACAGCCATTAGAAAGTTTTCAAGTTTCCCAAGAATAAGCAAAACCACTGAAACATTTATAATGGTGGACAGAGTAACACGTTAAAAAGTAAAGATCATCAGATGGGCCAGATAGTGGCATAGTGAAGTAGTAAAATACAATGCTCTGCAAGGTTGACCTACATGGAAGGTTCCAGATTTGTGCCCAGAAACGTACCTAAGCATGCCAGGCATGTATGTGCTCGTGACTTAGGGCTGGTTGAAGCTGGGGTGGATCATGGAACCAAGGAAATACTGGGGTGTTGTCTCTGTTTCTCTGTTACTCAAGAAATAATAAATAAATAAACGCAACAATCATGACTGCAGGCTCTTCCAGAAGTCATTTGTGTCAGCTGCTCTCCTCCAAAGTATACTGGTTCTCTTTTTTTGCCCCCCTCCACCTCTCCCTCAGTTTCTCCCTTTCCCCTTTCTTTCCAGCCTCACTCGCACCTGTACCACACTTGCATACACATACACACACGCATTCTCAAATAGACACATTGACACACATGCACGCCCTTCTTTCCTTAGGAGTAACCAATTGTTTCCAGACACAGAATAGTGAAAATTCTTACAGAGAATGGACTGGCTTCCCCAACCATAGCAGTAAAGCCCAGAAATGAGGCTGTGGGTCAGCCACACCCAACGTTTCCCTTCCATGGCTTTGGTTTCAATTCTTAGCTATTGATTCCTCAACCTGTAAATGCAGACTCCTCTCCTGAGTTCCAGATATGTGCACACAACTGTGCACCAACTGCCTCCCCACAGAACACAGCTGAAGACGGATTTCTCATTGTCTGGCCCTCTTGTATTCCCACTCCAGTGAGCTGCTCCTCCATCTAACACCCAAGACAGAAACTAAGTGTCAGACACCTACCCATGGATCCCTCCCACCCACTTGCCACCTGCTTCATTAACCTATGTCATTGGCACTCTGCTCCTCCCATGTGATCCTTCTCGGGGTGCAGTGACTGTCACTCTAGGACCCGTGAGTATAATAAACTTTGTTTCTCTGAGCTTCTCCCATGTCCCCTCTTGTAGCTGTAACTTACTGGTCATTTCTTAAAAAAACGCAGGCCACTAGGACATCACATGACACAGAGTATTATTCCTACTTTACAAATGAGCAAACAGAGTCTCAGAGATGTTAAGTCATGAGACGCCACCACACCACTCTTATATTATATTATGACCACTGTGATGTAACTTTGTAGCTCCTCTCATCTGAAGTGAGGTCTGTCTTCCCATGCCTTAATCTGGTTTGGGCTGGAGTCTTGCTTTGGCTAAGAGAAAGTGGCAGGAGTGCTATGAAGCAGTTCCAAGCCTGGGCCACAAGGGACTTCACACTTGTTGACTTACTCTCCCAATCTCCCCATGTGATGAAATGAGCCCAGGCTGGCCAGTTGGAGGATGAGTGAGTTTGTGAAGGAAGACCCATGGGCCATGGCCAAGGCCACCATTCTAACCACAGCTAATCACATTAGAGAGCCCAGTTGAACTGTTCAAGTCCAGCCCACATCAGAAGAACTAATTGCCCAACTGACCCATGAACTCATGAGAACTTTCAAATGGTTGTGGCTTAAAGCCACTAAGTTTGTGTACAACAATAACCAACTGAAAAAGTTAAGAAGAGTGAGGACACATAACTGATAAGGAGCAGAACTAGGATTCAAACCCACGTTTACTTGGCACCAATGAGATTAAGAGGAGTGAGAGCTGTTGGCAGCTAGCACCTCTGCCAGGCAGTCCCTCTGATAAGCTCTCAGGCTGTGCTAAGCTGAGGAAATTTCCCTTTCAGATCTGCGGGGGCCTCCATATGTGGCCACAGAGCATCAGCACACTGGTTCTGTGGACAATTGTGGGACTGAAGAGGAACTGGATAAAGTCAGCACAGTGACATGCTCAGCTGTCCCAGAGCAGGGGTGGGGCTGCCAAGTGTTGGGCATGTGACACTGCGGTAGGAGGCTCGGCTGTTTGTGCACTTGAAATACGCCTCTTCCTCCCTTCTTCCGCTTGCCAGGAGATGCTGTGATTTGGGTGTCTTGGGCAGTCTGACTAAGTAAGGTGGATATGGCAGGGTCTTCAAAGGGACCTCATGCACAAGCCCACTTACCACTCCCCCGCCCAGCAGGATAGACCCCAGCACTTCCCAGCACCAGGTCACAGGGGCATGGCTAAGAACTGAGGTTCTGGAGCCAGAGTGCCTGGGTTAGAATTCTGGACAGTGAAGTCATCAACCCTCTCTGGGCCCTGGTTTCCATGTTTGTAGAATATGGTAACTGTTCCTCCCTCTTTGATTTCTACGAGGATGAATGAAAATGCTAAGTAATAAGAAAACCTTTCAGATGGGTGCTTATTAAATGCTAAGCACCTTCAGGACCCTCAGAACCAGTCCCACCCCCTAATATTCCCTCAGTACTGAGCTGTTCACACCAGGTAGACAAGCCATCACATGGCCCTCTCATGTGTGTCATGCTTACCAGTTTGGGATGGTGCATCTGTGGGTCCTCCAGAAATTGGCAAAGACAGAAGTGCAGAGGCTTTGTTGGGGGTGACATCTGTGAATGAAAAAGGTAGGAGTGGGGTTGGGAAGAAGAGCCTCATACTGTGATGTGCTGGTGAGCTCTATAGAGCCTGGGATTGGACAGAAATAGCCTGGCCCTACTTCCCTGTCCTTCTCAGTCCCCAAAGTGCAATGGCTTGGCTAGGAAATTGGAGGTGGTGCCAACATGCTACAGAAAGGCCGGAGGACCATAAGTCATCAATTCACAGAAAGAGAGACTATAGGTTAGTAAAAAAGTATTTAATAAAAGGTTCATCCTTA